AAAAAAAAAAAAAAAACCTACACTGAAAACATTCACGCAGACGCGGCAGAACGCAAAAAAGATGAGCAGACATGACTGCACACTTCTCCTCCTAATGCGTACACGATGTCAAAAGCATTTACAGAATCGATTCAATTGAACAAGTTGACCTTTCATTATGAATTCGGAATCCCACACGTTCCCGGCAGAGATGACGTCTGGGAGACGGCAATGCCTTCTAGGCCGTCATCAAACCACCGGTACTTCTGAGCCTCTTTTTCCTGACCCAGATTTGTGCCAATTTGCCAAATTAAAAACGAACCATTGCGGCGCAAATTTTTTTGCTTCTGGCTGGCGCTGCTGCCAGCCAGCGAGGTCCCGGCAGGCCAAGCCCGCGAAAAAAATCACGGTTGTATACAAACAACTAGGAAGACAACAAAAACAATAGGAACAAGCATAGCTCAGTTGGTACACCCTTGAACTGTGTTGAACTGTTGAGATACAGACCCAAGTTCGAATCCTGATGGACAAAAAAAAAGGCCGGTTACTTCGATGATGATAAGGCCGTCGCTCTTTTAATAAGACAAAAAAAAAGTCGGGAGACAATGGCTGGGAAAGGTACTGATGGTTTAGTGGTGATTGGTAATTTATTATGATTTGCAATTCACTCTTGACATCCCGCCTTCTCTGCTTCTCCAGCCTCCATGACGTCAGCAGATCTTGACGCACAGAAAATGGCAGAATCAATGGCCGTATGAGTTGGCACTTCGAGAGACACAACATCAAAAATACAAAAGGGGGAGGGAGAGATTCAAAACCAATGTACAGAGAGCAATCAATGCTGTTCAGGGGACCCTTCAACCCCAACGGAAGCGAGCGCCGGTGTCTGTGAATTTCGGTTGTACACGACGTGCCAGCGTAAATGGAACCCGACTGCTTTCCCCCAGGATAGAACAGTGCTGGAACCACAAGTCCCCGATGTACTTGAGAAAAGGGGGGAAGGGGGGAAGGGGGGAAGGGGGGAAGGCGGGAAGGGGGGAAGCGGGGAAGGGGCGAAGGTTGGGGGGGTGGTCGGGGAATGAGGGTGATTGCAGTCGCAATAGCAGGCCCAGAAGCAACAGCATTTTGATCCCTGAAACACAGCAAGAGTGATCCGACGCACCTTCAAGGCCTTCGCCAAGGCTATGGGTGATGCCTTCTGCAGTAGTCTCTCTGTTGGCAAGGCCGCTGCACAGAAAATCGCATAGTTGCAGGCTGCAGGATCGAGCCATAGCTTCATTTTCTCCTCTCCCGCCTCTCCAATTACAGACTGTGTGACGTCAACATCACTCCCACTGTCGCTTGCTCCAGCTGTTGCATCTCTTGATGTAGGAAGGCCGCCTAAGCTGTCAGACAGTTCAGTGCTGTCGGCTGGGGTGGCGGTTTCACGACCCTCCTTCCATGCCCTATTGTCCGGAGTCCCCGTATCCTCAGTCTTGTCTATGTCCCCAACACTGTTGCGTTGAGATCGCAACTCCCTTCCCTCACTTGTAAGGGCAACAGAGCTTCCAGAAGTTTCCTTCAACTCGTGAGATTCAATGCTGTCCCTAGCATCCAGTGATGTGTCCTCCTTGCCACTGCTTTCGCTCACAGCGCTCTCCGATTTTCTCAACAAACCTTCTTGACCATGAGAGCCCATTATCTTTGCTGAAATTCTCCTTACATCATCAAGAATCGAATTGTAACCAACTATCTGAACACTATTCGCCTGCAAATAATCTCGGACCTGGCACCAGACAGAGTAGCAATTGTAAGAATGAACTGACATTTTGCATCGTTCTAAAATGTACGAATGAACTGACATTGTTCAGATCGTATCAATAAGGTCATCAAAAAAGAAAAAAAAGTTAAAATCGTATCAATAAGGTCATCAAAAAAGAAAAAAAAGTTAAAAAACTTTAAAAGTTAAACAACGGTCATCCACTAGAACTGAGCTAAAGAGTCATGCCTCATGACTGACAGTTTGCAGATCAGAGCAACAGGCATCAATTAGAACTGCTCTGAAGATCCAGGCTGGAAGGGAGAGTTCCACACAATATTAATCATCATTTTTCGCTGTGGTCTTTTCATTCAGCAGTCAGAACTCTCTCTCTCTCTCTCTCTCTCTCTCTCTCTCTCTCTCTCTCTCTCT